TATATATAACAATTAAAGCCATTTCAAAATATTAATAAATAATAATAAAAAAAAAACACTATATGCACCAATACTATTCTCACCAAGCCCAGTATGAATTTTTGGCATATCAATTTGTATCATAATTTTCTGATTGGTGTGAGAACTGGTGTGCAATTATTAAAACAAAAACTGAAATAAATACAAATTAAAGCAAATAAAAATGACAAAATCACATAAGAAAATGAAGTAAACTGATAAAATAAAAAGAAAGCTACTAATATATACTCAAAATATATTATTATAGTATATAAATAATACTAAAATAAACCTATGGACAACAAGCAGTGCCATTAAAAATGAAACTAAAAACATAATAAAACAATTTAAAAAAGATTAAATGTAATGCTTTCATTTAATATTTTTAATTACAAAAATAATCAATTAAAAATAAATGCCTTTCTGATAACCCTATTTTATATTTAGCCCTAACCCAAGTTAAATAAAAATGTGAAAAAAAAGGGGAAAAAAAGACACACACATAAGAAAATAAAAATAAAACCTGAAAATAAAAGCAAAAAAGTAATAATTACTATAATCAAAAAGCACTGCATGCAACAAAATAGTGAAACGTGCCTGTGGTGACATTTCTGCAAAATTGTATTATGCTGCATATGATAATATGTTAGTACAATATCGTGGAAGTTTGTAAATGAAATGTTCAGTGAGTGCTGCTAAAATGCTAATGCTCTATTGCGTTGAAAATAGAGTATCACCTACAATAAACCCTACCATAAACCTAACCGATAGTGTTAACAAAAGTAAACATGAGATTAAAAATTTATTTGCTGAAGCAACCATGACATTTTAGCTCACTTTCACATGCCTTTATCATGATTTGCATCACAAGTGCAATACTGTACTGGGTGCGCTACCAAGCAAGTTTACTACGTCAGAAAAGCCATTCCTATGAAGCTGATTATGTGATGCTAAGCTCAAAATGTGTTAGTTTACAAACCAGGCGCTATGATAAAAGTGTTTTGAGGTCATAACATAGTATTGCGAATGAAAACAAGCATTTATCAATCAATAATCAAAATTAGTGAGAACTACACTGTAAAAAATAAGTGTAATTTTAACTGTAAAATTTAGTAAAAACGCTACGGAAAAAAACTGTTAATAGGTTAACAGTAAGTTCCCGTACTATATACAGGGAAAAACTGTAAAATATCTAACCAGACTTTTCATTTTTACAGTAAAATGCTGTTAATTTTAGTTTTTAGAAGTAAAAATAACAAATCAATGTATAATTTACAGTCAAAAACTGTAAACTGATATTCCCAGAATTCCCTGCATGACACTCCACATTTGAAAGTATTTTGTTTAAATAATCATGTTTTTTTAATAGTTTTTGTTATTAGTTATGTATATTTGGGCTTTATGTTACATCTTCTGTTGTTTAATGAAAGTTTAATGCATTATTTAAGTATCAAGTGTGTTACCATGATGGTGTTTTGCCTTTGCATGAATGACCTTTTATATATTAGTATATACTTCTGCTTGTGGCGAAGCTACTCGTGATGAGCTTTGATTCTTCATGTGGCTTTCTCTTTTACCACCTGCATTATTATGGTGGTTGTCAGTATGTTAAAGGTACAAAACAGATTTTAATAGCAGTGTGCATTGTTGAATTTACTGGTTTACATTCAAATTTTCTTGTTTGTAAATTACAGTTTTATACTGTAAAGTTTACAGTTTTTGGCCGTAAATGTGTTTACAGTTTTTCTGTAGTTTTTACAAAATTATTCTGGCAACCACAGCTGCCAAAATTATTTTGTAAAAACTACAGAATTTTTTTTACAGTGTAGTGTTAATTTCAGCTGGAAACTGCAGTGAATTGTATGTATAGGTAGGTTTTTGGAGTTTTGTCTTTTTCAGTAAGCCTAAACTGTATCAACATTTTCAGACTCGATGTGAACGGGTTCACATGGGAGTCAAATCTTTTTTTATGCTTTTAGCATTTTTTTAGTCTGCATAAGGGAACTTTCTTCAGGTAAACGACAAGAAAAGAGAAGACGACTGAAGAAAACAAATTAAGCATGAGAGCAAAAGAATGACTGAAAAGAGATAATGAGCGAGGGAAAAAAAAGGTGAAGGAGGCAAACAAAGTGCTGTGGGCTTCGTGTCGCTGGTTTGGAACTAATCCTCCACAGGACGGACAACACGTGTAATTTCCTTTCATTTATATATTGCACATATTTTACTCTCTTCTGCTTCTTCTCCATATACAGCTTGCAAATGAAGGTCTGCAGACAGCAGATAAGAAAACACAAGCCCTCGGCTGCGGGCAACAACTCCAGCAGACGAATGGAGGGCGAGAGAGAAAAGGCCAGCTTTACCGTTAGAGCTATATACGCTTTAATGTCTATGTGTGTGTGTGAAACTGGACATTCAGTGTGCTGACTCAAACATTTCATTAATCTGTATAATCAGTATTATTGTCTTGATTCCCAGTGAAAATATCTAAACATCCTTTAAAACAACGAATTTGCTTGCGAAGCAAAACTGCATATTAAAATGGTGACTTGGTTTCGGTGACGGATCTTGAATCAAGTTCCTCAACAGCAAATTGCAGCCACACTCAGACTCGTTATACAGACTCTGGCTGTATTTTATTTTCTCCTCATGTGAAATAAAGCTGAAATAAATTAGATGGGAAATTTAAGTGAAAATTGGAAAGTTGTTGTTGTAGAGAAATGAATTTAAGCACTAAAATTACTCAAACTAAAACTGAAATAAATGTGAATTAAAGCTAAGAAGAAATATTTAAAAAAGCAACAAATCAATAGAAATGACAAACGCACATAATAAATGTATTAAAACGAACTTAAATTAAAATGAAAACTGAACATATAAAAATATAATATAAACATTATATTAAACTGATAAACACTCAAAATATTAATACATACTACAACAAATTTAAATAGTACAAATATAGCTGCAAGTGCTATTATCGGGGTTCAAGCACATATGAAAAGACATTACGTATCATTTAGTAAGCCTGTAACCACCTAAATCAATTATTTAATTATTTTTAATTTTTTTGCAAATTCAGGTAATTTACCATAGAAATATGATGATTTTTAATGTTTATGACTGTTACAGCGCCACCTATGGTTTAAAAAATTCGTTTTTTTTTTAAATAATGTCAAATATTTTAAGAACAATTTGATTGACAGCAGCGGCCCTATAGGCAAAGTTGTTCAGAATGAGGAGATCGATCGTACGATGTGAAGATCTAGTGTATACGTGAATATATGAACATTTTCTGCAATTTGAGGTAATTTACCATATAAATATAGTTTTTTTGAAGCCTTTTTAACTATTATATTGCCACCTGTGGTCCGATCTGCATGAAACTTTGCGTGCTTGTTCAGAATCACCTGTCGCATGTGCTCACCTAGTTTCGTGAAGTTTTGAGTTTTCATTTAGGCTTTATAGGCTTTTGGGTATATTTGGACACACCCCTTTTCTAAAAGACCCTGTTATAGATACCCAAATGGTAAAGTTCAACATTTCTTTTTTTTATATATATAATTGAAAAAAACTGACCTACAGAGTCCAGAGAATTGTACTGCAGTGCTTTTTTCGAGATTGAGCGAAAAACCTAGGACTAGTTCGCAAAAGTCGTTTTTTTTTTTTTTTTACATATCAATTATGTAACAAACGATTTGATTGACAGCAGTGGTTTTAGAGGCAAAGTTGTTTGGAATGAGGAGGTCTATGAGATGATATGAATATTGTGTGTGTGTGAAAAACCTCGCAATATACAGTCGTTTATGCCCTTGAAAAATGCGATATCGCCCCACAGTGGCCGATTTAAATAGCAAAACATGTACCAGTGCTATGGAGAATGGAGCAGTGAAATAAAAAAAAATAAAAAAATATTAAATTTAACGGTTTAATTTAATACTGTTAATTGTATACAAAAATCCATTAAAAATCAATACATTTTTGTAATGACAACAAATGGTTACATACTAAAATGACTAAAATTAAAATGGAAATACAAACTGAAGTTAAATAGAAAAAACTAACAAAAAATTTAAAGAGATCTCGTTTATCTCAAAAACTTGAAATGCATGCATGAATGCATGTCAAAATATATGTTTTGTTATTATCATGTTATGCAACACTGCATGTGTGTATGAACTTGTACCTGTCGCTGTACGCTGTAGCTGTTGCAGGCTGAGTATATCTGTATGCTGCATATCCACCCTGAAAACACAAAAATGACAAAAAGATCAACACAAAACAGACAAACATCAACAAAACTATCACTTATATCACACAAATAGATATACAGCAACTACCTATTACACAAACCCAGTGAGCAGCACACGCAAATATTGTTGTACAAACCACTTCATCTTGTGCTTGACATGTCTTTTTGCGGTCAAATCTTTACAGATTTTTATAAAGTAAACGTAACAATAACTTTGATATTGTTAGTAATATTTCCAGATGAAACTTACTGGACTGAAGCAGCTTAGGTTGACATGATTATTTATGCACAGTGTTGGGGAAAGTTACTTTTAAAAGTAATGCATTAGTATTACAATATTGCGTTACTCCATAAAAAAGTAACTAATTATGTTTCTTAGTTACTTTTTATGGAAAGTAATGCGTTACGTTACTTTTGCGTTTTTATGCATAATGTTTTAGAAAAATAGAAAAAATGTTGAAATGTGAGTCTCAGATCTGATCATCAGGTTTTTGAGGAGCGTTTGTTTTCAGAAGCTTTACTTTCACTGTTCCTCAGTGGAGGAATGATCTTCACAAGCCTCCAAAACATCTCAAATCTCATCTTTAGAGGAACGTTTGTTTGTTCATCTCTCAATCATCATTGTATTGCATTATATGTTTTGCTCATCAAACTAAGCATTTAAATATCATCTTAAGACATATTATTAGCAGATATAGAGTGACAACTGATATTTATATCATTTTATGTAATCGATTTACATTACAAATCCAAATCACTCACTTTTTGGCCATATAAATATCAGCATCTGCAGTTTTGGCCTCTGAATAAAACTGAGCTGTTTTATTCCCCCCCTCTATTCTCACTACATCAGACTATATGAGCCATAAAAGCTTGATGCGTCAAATATGATACCCAACAAAAAACACTTTTTCTTTAATGTTTTGTCTAAAGGTTAAATAAACTGTTCAATTTTTTAAAAACGAGACTTTTCTGATTAGTATTTCACATATCAGACTTTACAGGGTTAATACTGCAGCCTAGTATCTGTACAGCATCCTCAGAAGTGTGCGTATGATGCCTTCAGATGCCGTCTTTATCGGTTTTGAAGCACGTCTGTCTTGGTTCTTGTTGGTTTCTCTCGAAAACAGAGCAGATTCTGTTGATTTGCCACTTGTATCATAATCAGCAGAGACTCTGAGGTGGAGTCGAGCTCATTTGTCTGTAGGCAGATCGCTAATAACACACATTAATCAGAGCGTCAGAACGAGAGCAGCCGCTGTTTGACTTTCTCCGGCCCGACAAACACACACAACGGCCATGAGTGAGCGCGCCGTGCCACTGGGGGGCGCTGCGACACACGATAACGCTGGTGACTTATATTTGGGATGCTGAGTGTGGAAGGCTTACACTGATAATGTGTGCCGCATTTAAATCGGGCACAGAAAGAGTATTATTGAGTGGAGAATTTGAGACAGTCAGCACAGAACGGCTTGAGCGTTACTGAAACGAGCACACGGAGACTCTCGAACGCTACGGAAAGGGCTGGGTTTCCATCACTCGGAAAACAATTTGAATCAGAAGAAGTTTGTGAGTGAAAACGAAATGAAATCAGGTTAGAGGTTGAGCGGGGGATTGCAAGGTCATGTGACCCTTCCCCTGGGGACAGGAAGTGAGGAGGAGCAGGCGTGGTGAACTTCCTGCGGGACTGCACTTATTGGAGACCCCGCCTGCGAACACACGGGGTAATAAATCAGACTGTCAGCACCTCCGGCCCAATACACAGAACATGCCTTTATCAGGACACCGAGAGCCCCGACGCTAAATATAACAGACCACACCGCTGAAGATGAGAGAACAGACAATGAGAGAAGAGAGAGAGGAGAAAATATGCGGGAAGAATGAGAAGTCATGAGAAAAGAAGGGAAGAAAAAGGAAAAAGTAAAAGAACAGAAGAGGAGAGAATAGAAGTGAAATCTGAAACAAGGGAAACAAAACAAAAGAAAAAGTGAAAAGACAAGTAAGAAAAGAAAAACAGAAGAAAAACTAAAAGAAAATATGAGAAAAGAAAACAGAAAAGGAACAAAAAAGAATAATATGAGAAAAGGAAAGGAAAAAAGGAGAAGGCGAGAAGAGAAGGGAAAAGAAAAGGGGGAAATCAGAAAAGTAAAGTGAAAAAGAAAATAAAAGAAAAAGAAAAGATTAGAACATTTTTGAACACAAATAAAGAAAAAGCGAAAATGAAAAAAAGAAAAGTGAAAAAAATGGAAAGAAAAAGGAGAGAAAAGTAAAGTAACCATGCTTAAGCCACTATTCTCTGAATAGAAAATTCAGAGAATTTCTAGGAAGAGAAATATACTGATATTTCTCTTCCAAAAATATCAGTATATTCCACACAGACTCTCATTTGAATAAAATCAATTCACAAATTGATAGAATAGAATGAATAAAATGAAAACATTTTTCAAAAAGGCGAGGAGATAAGCCGAGAGCAGAGAATGAGAATGAAAGAGAGATGTGCGAGTGTGTTTGTTCTCCTGCGGGTCAGTGTGTCACTATCAGGGTGACACAGATGTGAGACGACTTACAGGTGTGAGAGTGTGTGTGTGTGTGAAGAGCAGTGCTAGTGGGAACTGAGGGTCCACAGCCACCAATGAACAAACCACTCCAACACACACACACACACACACACACACACACACACTTATCCTAAACCTGCCCCTCACAGAAAACTCTCTGCTATTTTAGATTTTCAAAAACCTTCATTCTGTATGATTTATAAGCTTGTTTCCTCATGGGGACCGAAAAATGTCTCCACAAGGTCAAAATTTACTGGTATTACTATACTTGTGGGGACATTTGGTCCCCATAATGTAGGGAATACCAGGTGCGCGCGCACACAAACACACACACACATACACACACACGCACACACACACACTCGTGTCCCTTTTCTTCGTGACTTGTTTTATCATCCAGTTGAAGCTTGATTTTTTTTTACTCGTTAATTGGCCACAAAGGGTATATTTTTCACAATTTTTCCCTCATTTTTCCCTATTTTATTGCCACCAAATGTAACTTTTTCACAGTTTCTTCTTATTTTTACCAATTTTACTGGCTAGTAAATGTTATTTATTTTATCATTCATTTTTTATTTTTACCCATTTTATTGCCCACCAAATATATTTTTTTCCACTTTTTTGGTTCTTATTTTTAACAGTTTTATTGGCCGCCAAATGAAAATTTTCAAATTTATTTTCTTATTTTTACCATTTTATTGGCAAGCAAATGTAGTTTATTTTATTTTATTCTTATTTTTACCCATTTTATCAACATTGGCCATTGGCCACCAAAATAATATTTTTCCACCTTTTGTTTTATATTATTATTTCCCCCCCTTTTCTAGACAGCAAATACATTTTTCACTTGTTTTTCTTATTTTTATCAATTTTACTGTGCACCAAATGTATTATTTTCCCACTTTTTTCCTGATGTTTACCCATTTCATTGGTCACCAGAAGTATTTTTTTTTCACTCTATTTTTCATTCAGTTCACCTCCTCACCTCTTTTTCCACAAACACTGACAGCAGAAAAGGCACATGCAAATAAGCAACACTAACCTGGAGTGCAATTCGTTCTGTGTGAACACTCTCCTCAGTATTTTACCAGCATACTCCTGTTTAAACAAGTCAAGTTTTCAATTTCCATTCCTTTTTAACTGTTAAAATGTCAGGCCTGTAGCACTGCACTAGCAACACCAGGGTCATGGGTTTGATTCCCAGTGAATGCATGAACTGAGAAAATGTATACCTTGAATGCAATGCAATTCGCTTTGGATAAACGCATGCGCCAAACGCATGAGTGGTTTGAAAGCATGATTTTGTGAGTGCATACTGAAGTTCGAGGACATGGAGAGCGCTTTGCTCCTTTGGAAGACTCTGAGTTTGTGGTGACTGAAGGGAATCTAGAATTGGGTTGTCAGGTTTCTTGGCACAAGCGAGACATCGCTTAATCGACGCCAGAGATCCTGGATTGGAATTACACTCCGCTCTCATCCCACAAGAAACAAAGTTACTCACGTAGATCTCCGCGCCGTAGAATCCGTCCTGATACAACACCCTGTGAGACAGAGAAGAGACAATGAGAGCTTCTGATTATCACAGATATGAGCATGAAAACCGCTGCAGAATAAAGTCATGTGACCGAGAAATAAATGACTTTGGTGCAGAGAGATGCACCTGAAAAACGCTGCACTGGAGCAGGACAACATCACATTCAAATACAGCTGTCAATCGATTACAATTTAATTGCATGAATTATGTAGAATGTAATTGCTATTGCACAGATCAGTATTTGCTCATAAAGCCTGAGCAGCAGATGATAGTGTTTACGGGTGAGACTCACGTGCCGTAGGCCGGGATGGGTGGAGGAGGAGGAGCCGTACGGAAGGTGTTGTAAACGGCACGACCTCTGCCTCGTAAATGAGCGCCTCTGTACGCCACCGTGGTTCCTGCCGTGGGATACGGGAAGCCCGTCACTGCAAACACACACACACACCGAACATCAGCAACTCCTGCTGGATGCCGTTTATAAGGACGCATGGTACTGTAGATGAGGTGCACGTGTCTCTATGACACAACGGAATGAATAAAGACAATCTGAGTGCTGTTTGCATGTGCAAAACTCATTGTCACGTTGCTAGGGTATTCTGTTTGGTTGCCAGGTATTTTTTTCCTGTCTTGTGCCCTCAGGTCTCTATGATTTGGTCTCTAAATATGGCTTTTGTCCCCCTTTTTTTTTTTTTTTGCAAAACATTTTCTCATTCTTGCCCATTTTATTGACCAGCAAAATGCAATTTTTCCAATTTTATTGGCCACCCAAAGAATATTTTATTTTCACAACTCTTATTTTTAGCCATTTTATTTGCCCAAAAAGTAATTTTCCAATTTTTCCCTTATTTTTCACCATTTTATTGGCCACTTAAAGGATTTTTTTAAACATTTTTACTTATTTTTATCTCTTTTTTAATTGGCTAGCAAATGTATTTTGATTACCATTCTTGTCTTATTTTTACCCATTTTATTGGCCAACAAAAGTATTTTTTTCTACCATGTTTTTTCTTATTTTTACCCATTGTATTGAGCAATGAAAGGATTTTTTTTTTAGTTTTCTTTTATAATTTTATCTGCTTAAAGGAGTAGTTCACTTCCAGAATAAAAATTTCCTAGTAATTTACTCACCCCCATGTCATCCAAGATGTTCAAGTCTTTCTATCTTCAGACGCAAAGTAAATGAAGGTTTTTGAGGAAAACATTCCAGGATTTTTCTCAATATAATGGACTTCAATGGGAACCAACGGGCTGAAGGTCCAAACTGCAGTTTCAGTGCAGCTTCAAAGAGCTCGACACGATCCCAGCCGAGGAATAAAAGAGTCTTATCTATTCAGGAAGTGAACTACTCCTTTAACAAACCACAGGGTTTGACCTCTCTCTGTTAGTTTGCTGCACCATTGATAAGTTTACTAGATGACATAACGATGGTTTCATTCTTCATAAATCTTTATCGAGAAATCACACAACAAAAGGAGAAAACAGAATTTGGGCCCCATCGTACATTATTATTATTATTATTTTTTGTATCTGTCCCACAAGAGTGTAAAAAATCTATAACAAATAATTATTATATAATTTGATGTCATATTTTCTAAAACAACGTAAGAATCAGTTGTTGAAAATACATATTTTTGGACTCCCTGTTTACGCTGCTGCTGTACAGGCACCGATGTTGTTTGATATATGTAAATGAAGCTGATAATGAGCAGGCGATAGGCTACACTGCCTCAATAAAAACACATTCATCAAACCAGCCGATATGCTGTGGCACAAAACACCAGGGGAAAAAAACCCTCAGAAAAGAATAAAAATACATGCAGTCAGTGAGACAGTCAGTTCGGTTCTGAAGGACTCGTAAGCAGCCGCTCAGCCGTTTGATGGCGTTTAATGCCTGCAGTTGTGAGGAGTTGGAGTGAGTAATCCACACGCGGGGGAACAGACACCGATTAATCAAATCAACGCCAAGTGCTTCATTATCTCCTTAACACACCGAGAAACAACGAGAGAGCTCATTAAGACACTTCAGACCAGATCAGACCGGACTATATGAGAGCTTAAAGAAAGAGATCTGTCATCATTTACTCATGCTTTTGATTTGCTTTTAGGAGCTTAAAAGTGTGTTTTCGTTATTTTTAAAAATGATATACTATTTAATATGAATATTATTAATTTTAGTAATATTTACAATAACAACTATTCATAAAATAGAAATAGTATAATTATTTTATTTATTTATATAATCTATAACTACAATTTATATTATAATACTATATATTTATTTTTATATAATTATATTACTTTTTAATTTTTGATATATTTCAATTACTAAATTCATATATTTAAAATAATTATACAATTGATAGAATACACTACTATACAAATTGTATAATTATTGTTTTATTTATATAATTACGAATCTGCAATTACAATTTGATATATACCTTTAAACATATTAATATGTATAAAATTATTAACTATAATGTAATTATTTATACTAATGTTTTTTATATTTTATATATTTGATTACTAATATAATATATTTAAAATAATTTACAATTGATATACTGTATAAAGTGTATAATTATTGTTTTATTTATATATATATACAATTACAATTTATGTGTATAGTATTTCTGTCCTTATATTTTTTTATTCTAATTATTTTTTTATAATTGATATATTTAAATTACTAATATATGTAAAATAATTACACAATTTACTTAATTTACACAATTTACTACTATATACATTATATAATTGTTACTTATTTATATAATTACATATCTTTATAATTTATGTTACTTACATAGTTATATAAATAAATAAAATAATATATGTTATTGTTTTGAGAAAATCTCTAGCATCATTTGTTTGCAGATGCCACTTGGTTTGAAATGTATTGTATCCAATGCGATGAAATTCACACATTTTTAAGTGTGACTTAAGTGTCAAAAGGTGGCCAAATAGTTAATAAATAGTTAAATACATACATTTTGTTTGTTGAATATAAAGATGAATAAATCATGACAGAATTGATGGTGAAATTCTTCCTTTGAAAGATATCCCGATATAAGAAACCTCCTGAAGCCATTCGCAATGTATAAGTGTGTGTAAAAGTCCTTTAATAAGAGTCACGTTGGGTGTTATCACAATGAGTTCTTCATTCATCAGTCATCTGGGAAGATCTGCAGCATCTACGTTTCCATCAACCGAGCCAAACACAGAGAGCGATCGCGGCAGTGATACTCTCTGAGCTCATTACCTCACACTCATCACTAGAGGCTCATGGGAAGGTTTGGGTTGCAAGCAACAAAGAAGAATGAAGAATCTGGCGCCACGAAGACTTCCATCAGCGCACATACACCTTACAATACTCTCAAACACACACAAAGCTCAATAAAACACACCTGCATGTGACCTCACACACACACACACACACACACACACACACGTGAAGACACTGCTCGGACGGATTTCCTTTTGGTCTGATTTCTAAGTGAGAGGAGAAACACTTTCCTGAGCGGCTGCAAGGCTGACGTCTGTGGTGCTGATCGCAGGCCGACAGCCAACTGGTGAACATATGCTGACGTTTAGTCCTGATAAAGTGCATCTCAGCAGCAGACGAGGGAACACACACCCCTGAGAGGAGCCACGGGATTTAAAGGGTTGAGTGTGACGGCAGAGATCTGAGATGGACCGTGAACTTCCTCTTGGTATAACAGACGGCAGTAAAGGCAGAGAAACCCCCTGAGCGTGTGTGTGTGTGTGTGTGTGTGTGTGTGTGTGTGTGTCACTGCTCGATTACACCGTCAGCATCGCTCACTCCAGAGCTCTTGATCTGTTAGCCGACTGAAAGCTAATCAAATCCATCCATAGGACAGAGACTCACAATGTATATGGAGAAATTGGACACATTCTCTCCTCTCACACACACACACACACACACACACACACACAGCAACACCACAAATCACTTTAAACTCTTCCTGCACATCACTTTAAACTCTTATACGCTGCACATCACTTTATAACTAAATAAATAATTATGATTTATTTAAATCTATCCATCCATCCATCCATCCGATATTATCTGGGTCTGTTGGTAAGCCTGTATGTTCTGGTGAATTAGCTCTGTGTCTGTGTGTTAGCGTATGGCTCTGCTGAGCTCTAATGTCATTTAATTTTCCTTATGCAAGACTTTTACAGTCATCGAGACTCGAGGGCAAATCAGAATGAACTCAAAACAGAGTGCGCGAAACGAACTAAAGCCAATTACTCTGCACTGAATTCTTCATTTGTGCCACTGAAGAGTTTTAAAAGAAATGTGATCCGTGACTGCTAATCAAATGGAGCCCAGAGCTAACTAGCAGCGCTAATGATACGACCACCATCTGACTGCCATAAATTACAGCAGCGGTTACGCTGTGTTCAATAGCCTGTGCGTTTATTAGGAATGGAAACCAACGTGGCGTCTAGTTTCGCTAATATCACGCTAGCATGAGTCGTTTTATTGGTGCTGCTGGATTGGCGGTTGAGGAGTGCTAACGCAGCACTCTCGGCTTCTTGTCCATAAAGTGGGAAATCACTGACATCAGCACTGTGCCTCTGAGCAAGACATTTAACCCCGGATCGGTCTGGACGGGACAGAGTCCCTAATACATCTGCAGTGAGCCCGTCTGAGTCAATAGCAGCAGATACATGACAAACATCACAAATACTACTGACCAGACATCTGCACTAGTGATTGTGTGTGTCGTCCTGCGGCATTTGAATGATGTTTATCTAACTATCTATTACCCTAGCAACACCCTAGCAACCAGTCAGAACACTTTAACAACTGAATAGCAATGTCATGACAACCATTTATCTATCTATCATCTATCCATCCATTCGTCTATCCATTTATTATACTAGCAACCAGTCAGAACACCCTAGCAACCAGTCAGAGCACAGTAGCAAGACCCTAGCAACTGCATAGCAATGCCATGACAACCATTTATCTATTTATCTAACATCCATCCATTCATTCATCTATCTATCCATCTATCATCCTAGCAACCAGTCAGAGCACCCTAGCAACCACCCAAAACAATTAGCAACTGCATAGCAACGCCATGACAACTATTTATCTATCTACATCCATCTATCTGTCCATACATCATTCCAGCAACCAGTCCAAACACCCTAGCAACAACCTAGCAACCAGTCAAAACACTTTAGCAACCGTCCATCTATCTGTCCATTCACCCACCTATCACCCTAGACAACACAAACACAGTATTAACATTCAGGCCTCTGTTTGCACATCTCACTGAGAGAAGATGCGGGAAAGCTTCTTTCTCACCTATACATTGTTCATTCTCCCTGACTTCCTTCCTCTCACCCATCCTTCCCCTCACTCAGAATGGTCAGTTGCAAAATATAATGTTCTTCATGAATGCAAGTGATATTCACAGTCATGTTTGGTATCATTTGAAATGTCTCAGTGCAGCTGGTACAATAGTCTCAATCTTACAAGAAGGAGACTAAAAGGTAATAACGACCCTAAGAGTTTAGAGATTTTTTGCTCACTGTAGAGGGTGTGCCCTTTCCCAGTATAATTCATGCAAATTACCATCAGCCCCCAAAAGCTGTAAGCTCTCCATGTCTAGGACTTGATCAATGCAAATTCCAATTATTAGTTCCTGTCTCCATTTGGAGGATGTTTGTCTTGGTCTGAGTATTTAAGGAAATTTTGCAAGAAGATCAGGGCACTTCTGTAATCAGATGAGCCCGTAGTGTGGAGTGTGTCCATACACTCAATACTACGTATTTTTCTGAAATCAGGTACGCGTCTTTTAGTCTTAGATTTATTTTTGAGTATTTGATGTATTGATTTGATTTGATATCTCTGAATTGACTATGCAATTGGTATAATACATATTTGCCTGACTGATAATAATTTGTTACATTTGACTTTATTCTGACTTACTCTGAGATTATTGCCTCTAGTAGATTACGTTAAAGGTGGGGTAAGCGATTTCTGGTAGCCAATGTTGACATTTGAAATCACCAAAACAAACACTCCCCTACCCCAAAAGGGTCTCGCCCCTATTTTGATAGCTCCGCCCCACACATACGCACGCAACCCAGGCAACGATTAGTTCTGTGAAACAAAGCAAAACCAATGTTACACCGTGTCTACACCGGACGCGAGCGGCGCGGCGTGACAAAATACTATAGAACTCATTATAATCAGTGATGCTGTCTACACCATAGATATATATATATATATACATATCTATGGTCTACACTGTATGCGGCGCGGCACGACATGACAAATACCCGACAGAAAACTGCTGCTGCTACAAGTTTGTTTTGCTATTCGGCCCGAATCAGTTTTCTAAAGCGTTTTTGAAAAATCGCTTACCCCACCTTTAAGTCCATAACATCGCAAATCTACGCTCAGGTTAGTAACGGACTAAACTGATGTTTTAGAGCTCCGACTAACACATTGGCATTAGTTATGTATACTTAGACTGTAGAGGCTAATAATGGGTTTTCCATTTATAGCTGATCTGAATAGGGTGAGCCTCAACCCCTGATTATAGTAATATTATTGTAACTAAGTGTACGTGGGAAACTATGGCATGGTTATATTACCATTAGAGGAAGTTAAGTTGGTCAGCTGGGTCCTATGGTAATGGTCATGATCTCTGGTTAGATATAGTCTTACCTTAAGTGTGATCAGATTTATGAGGACTAAATAAAATGTTCTATAATGAGCAAAGTAGGTACACGCCTTCTATAATATTAGTCAGTCGCCTCTGTCTAATGACCAAGACTGATGAGTTTGTGAGTATGAGATCTGCATACCCGGCCGGTGCGAGACTCGAAGTGTTATAGGAATTCGAAAGAATGAGTACAATAAGATTAAAGAGTTAAATGGATAGATAGATTATCCTATGAATGATCAATACTCATTGGCATTCTAACCTAAATTCAAGGTCATAATAAAATGGAGTCAGATTAGAATTTGATTGAAGTTAAATTACTTTGTGCACAGAAAAAGACCGAACACGCAGGAAATCAGCCACCATTGGATACCTTCGTTGGGCCAACTGTGTGCACCTTACAGCAACCACAGTCCCATTGTGGTAACGAGCTTTGCATGAACAAAAGGTTTCCGCATCTTTTGAAACGAAATGGCAAAAAACACTTGACAAATCTTCATGATAATTACACTACAAATAGCAGTTCATTAACATATGAGTGATGTGGGGAATTTATTCATTTTGAATTACTGTTTTTAAAGTAAAGGAGGAAAACCCCTGCAAATGTTTCAGCACCGGTCAAACGGATCTCTTTCCGTGATTTCTGTGTAAACAGGTGTGCAAGACAATAGAATACAGTGATGCTCTTCCTCACCTGCGTAGAGCTCAGGTCCGTAAACGGCTCCTACCACCGGATTGAGTTTCCAGCCTGCAGAAACACAGGACAGAGATGTGCTTTAACAGATCCCGCATCTGTCAGTGAGAGTCAGAACAGCTGTAAAAACAGCTGTAATGCTGAGAGGAGCTCTTACTGTTTGTGTACGGGTTTACTACTTTCTTATTCGTCATCACTCTCGCCGTGGCGTTGTTCACCTGAGAGAGAGAGAGAGAGAGAGAGATGTGAGCGCACCGCAGGAACAAAAACACATGCATACGAACACTGCGCTCATGCAAACATGCATGCATGTGAGTAATATCCCTCTGCTCTTCAGCTAATCACCCATAATGCATCTCTTCTGGCTGTTCTGAGCCATGCACACCACACTTTACAGAATGTGTTACTATATTTGGATATTTTCCTTCATTTTCGGAGTTTTGGTGTTATTTAACAGATGCTTTGAATTGATGACATACACAAGCAATGCAAAAAAAAAATCTCCAATGAATAACAAAAGTAAACAACACTGGAGCATGATGTATGATCTGAAATAAGGTTTGTTTTAAACTGGTTGTACATTATCCAATGGAAGATGGTGGAGGATGATGAATATAATAAGATTCAGCTCTTTTTATATTTTATAGATTCAGTTTTACATCAAACAGATTCAATTGCTCTCAGAGATTAAAATAAATAGTCTGGGTCATTTTCACCTTAATTTCTATTGACAGTATTTGCTCAAAGATATGTGCATATTAGTGCTGTAAAACGATTAATCGCGATTAATCGCATCCAAAATAAAAGTTTTTGTTTACATAATATATGTGTGCATACTGTGTATATTTATTATGTACATATAAAAGCACACACATACAGTATATATTTTGAAAATATTTACATGTATTTACATTTATATATTTATATTCATATAATTTATAATTATATTCATATAATTATATATAAATATATGTAATATATAAACATTACATATTTTTCTTAAATATATACATGCATGTGACTTGGACATATTTTTTGTGAGATTCACCCTGTTTGTCACAGAAGTTGTCAATAGAGCATTTAACCCAGAATATTGTTTTCAGACGTCACAAACACACACACAAACTCAGACAGGTATTGTGCAGATGCTCGGGAATCTCAGGATGAGGGCAGGAAATGAGGTCAGCAGGCAGGAAAGGAGGACGGAGAGAAGGGGAAAAGGAAAGCACCTCGATTTTACGTCCTTCTACGATTGTACCGTTTAGTTTCTCCCGTGCACGATCTGCGTCTGTGCTCGTTTCAAAAGTTACAAAGCCAAAGCCCTGCAGACGCATGGAGTGAAGCAGGAGGAGAGAGAGAGAGAGAAACAGGTTTGGAGAGAGTCAGGAGCCCACGAGAGGAACAACATGATCAGGAGGGTTACAGAGACACGCTACAGTAAAACACCAGCAGAGAAACCTGCAGACGCACAGTCTGTGTGTGAAGAGCTGCAATCAGATAATGTTAGTGACAGAAATAACATACCACACTATAAACCTCTTGCAGACTGTCACATGTGTGAAATGTTGCTTTACTCAGAGACAAAAAGTGACTAAAGAAGCTTTCACTCGACGGCCACATTCGTAACATATTTGACAACTACTTAAATGAGGAAAGGCTGAAATCTATGAAACTGTCAAAATTACATATCAACATATTTTAAATCGAAATCTTATTTTTAATCTTATTTTCAGATTATATATATAGTAAACAATTATATATATAGTACATATATAGTTAAAAAAAGTAAGTAATCTATAATTTAATAAATAAATGTAATAAATAATTAATACATTTTACTTAAGCACAATTTTAAATCACACAAAAAGTACATAAAGTATATATTATTTATTTATATATAAGTATATATTGTTTATTTATTTTTTTTATTTAATATTAATTTAGTATAGAACATTCTTTTTGATTAACAACTGTTCTGAGTTTTTTTATTACATTTTATTTGTATTACATTTATTATATTTAAATTATTATAATGTTTATTGAATATATAATTTATTTAAAATGT